AGGTTCTGGTGGTGGATTAGCAATTTTCATACGTAAAAATTTAACATTTACAGAAATTACGGACCTTGGAATAGTGGGCAATACGATGGAAACTTGCGCTATCCATGTTACTAACGTTAGGCCTTCGTTTAAAATTATGGTTTGTTACAGAGTTCCAGGTTTCGTTTTTTCCCAGACCCAATGGGAGCAAATAATCAATAAAGTTGATAATAACGAAAACTGGATAGTTATCGGAGATTTTAACTTCCATCATAGGATTTGGAACTGCTCGAACACCGATGTTAATGGAGAAAGACTATTACAATGCATCGACGATCACGATCTAATTATACATAATCCAGATACATTTACTCACATAGATTTCTATAGAAATAAAAAATCAAATATAGATCTTGTTCTATCTACAACAAACATAGCGGAGAAGATACACGCAGAAACTCACGACGAAACCTTGATGTGTGCGAAGTTAGGGCCGCACTTTTCGAATTTTTGAGTTTTTCTTTTTTGTGCCGTATTGTGCTATATTTGTGCTGAATTGTGCCGTAAATAAGAGATCGATAACATCAATAACAATTAAGAAAAGAAATAAAACCAAAATTATACTAGCCCCGCACTTTTGCAGAAACAAACTTTTTTTTTTCTAAAGAAATATGCGTACTAACTTGTGCTACATTATGCCATTGATAGAAACTCGTTATCTCTACTCATTTTGCAGAAAAAAAATGTTGAATTTTAAGGAATAACAAATTTAATATTCGCACAATTTGCGAACGGCGACAGATAATCGAATTCTACAAGTTGTGTTAAATTGTGCTACTTACAATACACGAGATATGCGTTAAAAATTAAGATTAGCTCGAGGGTCAATAAAAGTTAACAGAAAAAGATGGGGGTGATTAAAAATGTCGATATTTCCGAATTTTTTTTTATCATTCCGGATTGTGCTAGACTGGTACAAAATCTCGCCAGATTTACAGATTTCGCAGCATTGGCAAAGTTAGGAATCAGACGTTAGGAATTTGCATTCGTATTCGCACGCGCTCGCGTGTAGCGGAGTACAGTAATGCCTCGATAAATGCACAAGCTCGGGACTGAAAGTGTGCATTTATCATGGAGTTCCCACATTGTTTGATCTTTGCCCGCAGCTTCGAACGTAGAAAAGGACGGTGAGTAACATAAAGGGACGAAACGAAATAACATGATCGTATGCGGTGAAACAATACTAATGCAAGTATGAAACTTATATCAACCGATTTATGACATCTTTCTGAATAAAATGAGACGAAACACGATATCATTTGGGTTATATTTACCATGCATCTTTTTTCAGTTACCGTTGATACATAATAAGTTGTTACAAGTAAATATGTTCCCAATTATGTCATGTTTGATCTCAGTTTATTTAGAAAAAGTCAACAAATTTGATTGTAACAGTTATATAAAAAAAAAAACTAAAAATAAAATAGTTAGTATCCTATTGGTATTCAGGAAAACAAAATACGCCTTTGATCTTTGCCGATCGTTATGATCTCTTTCTTTTTCATTCGCTATCCTTTGCTGTATTCTTAACATATTATCGTCAATTAAACCAGTAAATACAGTCCATATTATATCGTGTTTGGTATCATTTTAATCAGAAAAATATCACAAATATTGTCGCGAACAGTTTTGACGCATAAATTTATCAATTATGTCTTCGTTCATTCTTTGTTGTTTCGTTTGGATTTGTGAGTGTGCGTGCGTCTCGTGGGTCGTTGATCGCGCGACTCTCAAAACGCGACAAAACGCGATCAAACGACCGCAGGGCCTACCCAGGACAGGTCAGTTACTGCTTAATCGTGGTAATATTCGGTATTCTATAAATCACATTCTTTGAACGACTTGCCTAGCTCAGGTCACGACGAATGTTCGACACGCTGTCTTTCACGTTTGCATCTGCTTCAAATGCAAATTTTGGCATTTCTTTCATGAAATAAAATAAAATACTTTTTCGAATTTATTCTCCATTTCACAATTTAATTCGTACAGAATTTTTCTTATAAGTCTGACCATGAAGGCAGTGAACATGTTAGAAAAATTATTAGTTAGTCCTAAATATAGATGCGTTTTGAATGAAAATGGAAAAATAGTTAGACCAAAATCCACTGTATATAAGGAATTAAGTTCTTTAATAGAGGGAAAGATTTCCCCGAAATACATTTACACCATTTTGTTACAAAACAGGCATAGATTATATGAGAAAGTTTTAAGTTGCCATAATTCAGATAAACCTACTACTACTGAATTTGATATAAGTATTGATGATGACGAATCCTCATTTATTTTGTCATCTACACATGGCACGATATAGATTGCGAATCAGTAAAGAGAAATTATAACTCATTACGACGCCGTAGATGGATAAATATAATTTTCGAACTTATATATGAAACTGCGAAGTTACCATGTGCATTTATGTTTAAACAATGCAAAATATCTGAAATAGGCACTTATGAAACAATTTATGCAAAATGTCCAGATTGCCAATCAAATTTTATTGGTAAAATTATTAATAAGCCTAAGGATAACATAGATATGCAAATGGATGCCGTGTAAGAAATTTTAATGCAGACATTACACACACAAAGAAACGTTCCTTGAGTGGAAAAAAAAGAGTAGAGATATCGCAATCTCTTGGAATGGGTACATTGTCGGCGACAACATGGCGAAGGCAAGAAGTTACAAAAATAATGAGTTTGTATGATCGGAACCCCCACATCTATACAAACTTTCTACTCTGAGAAAGGCGAAACAAGAAAGACAAGATCTCAACTTACAAGTTAAAGGATCGTGTGCATATACTAATTTGCAAAATATGAAATATACAAATCATGCAGGTTCCATTCATAGTATAGGTTACGATCCATTTTTTGTTCATTATTGGACATCTGAACAAATTATTATTTACTTACATTGTCACGATACAATTTATATTGATGGAACAGGTTCATTAATAAAAAAGTATAATTTACCAAATGGGCAACTATCATCACATATTTATTTATATCACGCCGTTACGAATACAGGAAACTATAAGATGCCAGTATTTCAAATGTTGAGCGCTGTGCAAAATGTCAATGCAATTTAATATTGGTTAAGTGAATTCTTGCGTATTGATTCGATTACAAAAGCAAATTTTCCATTTCCTCGATCAGTCGTATGCGATTTTGATATGACGTTACTTAATGCTATTGTGAAAACTTTTGGCCAATATTCTAACTTGGAACATTACTTAACAACTTGCTTTACTCTAGTTTTAACAGAACATTCTGTTGAAACGCCAAAATACTTTATACGGCTTGATATTTGCCACTAGATGCATATGGTGTTTAAATGGAAATTCTTTTCGCAACTAAATTCGAAAGTAAAGAAATGTTATGTATGCGCTATAGCTTTGTTAACAAAGCAGACAAACTTTTGCCATTTTGTGGAAATAGCAAAAAGTATTATTTTATTATCCCTCAGCGAGGAAATTGGAAAAGATCATGAAGAAAATGATTCTCCATCGGAATCTGCTCGTGTACTTATAAGGAATCATATAAAAGGCATCGAAGAGGTGTCACTAGATGATAAAGATAATGACAATATACGAGATGAAGATTTTGATTCGGAAATAACAATGTGTAACATTGCATCGTGGTCTAATGATCTTCTTCAAGATTGTCGCAAAACGTCAGCAGAAACCAAAATAAAATGTGACACGGATAATCCATATTACGTTGCGCAGTTAAGTCAAAAACTAAAAACATTCCTTGTGTATTTTCCATTATATTCGGGAGTAATGATCCCTATTTTTGGATATGGACAAATAAATGCTAGCTCATCATCTGTAGAGTCTGAGATGAAAGATATTAAGCATATCTTATTAAAGAATAAAAAACGTCCAATGAGAGCAGATAAATTTGTAATTATTCAGTTAAGATCGTTTGTGGGCAGATCACTATTGGCTTTGTCGACACATGACTCTCTGCTTTCTGCTAATAATAATATGTAAGCCACAAAGAATGATGTTATCAGTAGTTCGATAAGGAAGACTGAACTTATGTCAACTATCGACGAAAGCAATCAGTCTGAAGACATATCAAATTCTACAATTGTGCTCAATCAATCAAGAAAGTATGAAACGGACTCTGATTCTCCGACAAATATTAAAGTAGAATTTAATTCTAAGGGTATTATAGCAAGCTATACAAACGAATTGAATTTAGAGCACAATTGGAGAAATAAAAATACAACACAAACAAATAGAAGGAAAACATATCTGGACAATTGCCCGGACTGGAATATAAGTCATACAGGAAAGACGCGCATAGGAGTTGTAAATCTACAAAATGGTAATCTATGTTCCTTTGTAACTATCGATAAAAAAAAGTTCTTGTTACCAATACATGCGGATTTGACAGTATCGTTTCTATAATTGCATGTGCATGCATTAATGAATATTATAAAAATAATATTGAAACATCCGATACCACCATTATGAAATTCGTGAACTGATTCTTTAAAAAATGGTTGCAGTCAAAACACATACAAACTAAGAGCCGAAATATTAATGGGTGTTAATAAATTCAAAACTCAGATCGAAAAAAATTATATAACTATAAACTGTTTCTCAAGCGTAGAAAATGTTGCACAATATGTTTTTGAAGGCGATCCTAGTTATACAGAAATAAAAACTTACGCCGTATGTTTACACATTATCATGCGTCAATCTGTATTAATCCATGTATCCATGGCAATATCAGAAGGTATGCCAAATAATAAATCCATCTGCTGTAAACAACGTATGAACAGAAATATAAAGTACGGAAAACAAATATTTATAGATGTGACGTAAAAGAAAACGATACAGAGAAAGAGTACTCTCTTGCAGAATTTCAGACAAAAATTCAGGTTGGCGAGGATTCGTTTCTTTTAGCGGGTGTAGTAGCACGTTACGGTGATACCTATGAGAACGGGCACTATGTAGGATATTCGTATCAAGGATCTCAATTGATAAAATTCAACGATTTAATTAAAAATACAAGAAACAAATCCAAAGAATATAAAATAAAACCGCATTTAATAATCCATGTTGCATGCAAAGCAAATTCATTTTAAATATATTATGTTCATGCATTTTTCTTTTTTTTTTTTAATCTTATATTTATATCTTATATGGTTTATAAAAAAGATGGACTTTTTTGCCATTTCAGAATATCAAATTTTATTTGGTGTTTTGTGCCTAAATATATATAATTTATATATACGCTTATAATATTATAAATAACATTAATATGAACAACAAAAAAACAAAAATATAAAAAAACAACAAAAAACAAATTAAAAATATGTAAAAATATATACAAGATACAAAAAAACAGAAAGGAGCCACAATACTGCTACGTTTACGTTGTTGATTCCGAGTAACGCAAAAGGTGGTTGCATACGTATATGTATGAGGGAACGAGTGCACGTAAGGGTGCGTGCGCGGGTGTGCAAGCGTGTGTGCGTGAGTGTGTGTGTGCGGATATAGTATATTACCGATATATTATATTACATGTCTCGTTCTCGATGATAATATTGTAGTTATGCTTGTCATGCTTCACATCACAACGTTCAGCGCATATCGAACATGAATCTGGCACTTTTCCGTTACTTACTTCTCACTATTTATGTCCCTAGCTTCATATTGTTTCGTTGTGCCGAAGCATCGAGAACGTTTTTTAGCGTAGCGCTCAAAAATTAAGATAAATTATAGGAAGAGCTTATTGAGATATGTCTGACATAAAGAAGAAGAAGCGGTCAAGATCTAAATCACGAGAGGACCATCATTCTAAACGAAGACATGATGAGAAATTTGATAATTTACAGAAACAGTTAGATAACCTAACTAAAATGGTAGAGACGCTAGCGAATTCACAAAAGGAGAATTCGCAGAGTCTACCTGCAAAAAATATCAGAATTGGTAAGTAAAATTGCTGATATGATTGTCTCGCTCAGTATTCTCTTCTTTCCACACGAAAGTTGAGAGGTAAGACCCAGACGGTCTTACCATAGTCCGTACGACTTTAAAAAATCAAAAAGATTATCGTTATCGTGCTTAAGTTCAACAAGAACAATAATATCACAATTGCACAACAAGAGCTATTTAATAATCTCTTCCACTCGTTAATTCACAGACGAGGAAAATAAGGATAATAATAATCCCGATTTAGATGAAAGTGAAGAAGAATTATTAGAAAATTCTGAGCCAGAAACGTTAAATAATAGTGCTTTGGAGATATTGGGGATAGATCCCAATGATTCAAAATTCAAAAAGGTGAAATATCATCCGGAACTAAAGAATACGTGGTTGAAATGGAAAAATGAAGGTCTACCAGAAAAGAATAAAAAGCAAATTCTGGAACTTTATAATAGAAAAGGAGAATTTTATACCGAAGCTCCTAATTTAAATCTGGAGATAAGTCCATTGCTTTCAGAAATTGCTAAAAAGAGGGACCAGCATTTTATGGAAACGCAAAATTGCGTGGGCACGGCCATAGCTGCCTTAGGAGCTGCGGTCTCTATGTTGATAGAGCACCCAGAGGACGGTTTAGATAAGAATGCATTTATAGATTACATAAGCCATGCGGGTCAGATTTTAACTGATGTTTTCCATTAACAGTCGGTGGCAAGAAAATCTTTTATTACACCGCAGTTAAATAAAAGTGTAAAACCAATGGTGGATACGATGTTTTCCAATGAATGGCTTTATGGTGATAATCTGAAGGATAAAGTCAAGGATGTCAAAGAGATAGAAAAGGCTTGTGCGAATATCAAGGACAAGCCCCCACAAAAATATATACCAAGGGCACGAGAGCAGGGAAACTGGAAATACCCACCTGCGGGATACCGACAGGTGGGTCAACATCAGAGGCGTCGACAGATAAAATTCAAGACACGGTCATACAGGACCTCGCAGAGTTCAACCAAGTTGACACCGCAGACGACGAACCAATTATCGTTGAAGAAATAACTCGGGTAGATATATCTGCAGGGCGTCTTTGTCACTTTGTAAAAAGATGGAAATATTTTACTTCAGACAAGTATATTTTAAGTTATTTAAAAGGTTATAAAATTCCGTTTGTGGAAACATCCGTTCAAAACATTGCGCCAAAAGAGAAAGATCATTCTTTCGAAGAAATGGAAAAACTGCAAAGGGAAATTAATAAACTTTTAAAGAAAGGTGCTACAGAGGCATGTAATGAATGTGATGGACAATTCATTTCTTCTTACTTTCTTGTTCCAAAACCCGATGGTACAAATCGTTTTATTTTTAATCTTAAAGAGTTAAATAAGTTTATCAGACCCCCACATTTTAAAATGGAGGATATTAGGTCTGCGTTAAGTCTATTAACCCGAGGAGATTATATGAGTTCTTTAGACCTTAAAGATGCATATTTTCTAGTCCCCATCTTCGAAGGTCACAGAAAGTTTCTAAGATTTATATTCAATAAGAAAATATTTCAATTTGTATGCCTACGTTTGGCTTATGCACTAGCCCATACGTTCTCACTAAATTAATGAAACCGATTATTAATAAATTAAGACTCCAGGGAATAATAATGGTATTATATTTGGATGATTTTTTATTTATCCATAAATCTAAAGATATATGTGAAGAAAATGTAAGGAAAGCAGTTAAAACATTAGAATATTTAGGTTTTATCATTAACTATCAAAAGAGTTGCTTAGTTGCTAATCAGAAATGTAAATATTTAGGATTCATTATTAATTCAGTTGAGTTTTCCTTAAATTTAACGAATAATAAGAAAACCCAAATAGTAAAGCTAGTGAATGAGTTTAAAATCGGGAAGTCATATAAAATTAGACAATTTTCTAAACTTCTGGGTGTCTTAACAACGGCATGTACGGCCGTGGCTTATGGATTTATTCACTGCAAACGATTAGAAAAACAAAAATATTTAGCATTGAAATTTAATGGTGGGAATTACAAAGGACTTATTTGTATAACTAAAATTATGTTAGAAGATTTTGAGTGGTGGAAAATTAATGCAGTTATTGGATCGAATCCAATTAGATTGCAAAAATTTGTTATCGAAATCTTTTCTGATTCGTCCTTGACAGGTTGGGGTTATTACTGTAATGGCTCAGAGGCCTTTGGTTTTTAGGACAAGCAAGAAAAGAAAAACCATATTAATTATCTTGAGTTATTGACTGCTTTCTTTGCAGTAAAATGCTTTGCGTCAGAATTATCGCAATGCGAAGTATTACATAGATTAGATAACACTACGGCTGTTTCTTATATTAATAGAGCCGGAGGTGTACAATTTTCACATCTTAGTGAACTTTCAAGAAAAATTTGGAAGTGGTGCGAAGAGAGAAGTATATGGTTAAGAGCATCGTATATTCCTTCGAGTGAAAATATAGAAACAGATAAAGCATTACGTAATGTTAATGTAGATTCTGAGTGGGAACTTTCTCGAAAAGTCTTTACACAAGTGGAGAAACAATTTGATTCATTTACAATAGATTTATTTGCATCTAGATTGAATAAAAAATGTAAAAGATTTTATTCTAGATTCCCAGATCCGAAGGCAGAAGCTGTAGATGCATTCACTATATCATGGAAAAATTGTTATGCCTTTCCTCCCGTCGCACTCATTCTCCGAACATTAAGAAAAATAATTAATGATAAAGCAATCGGTACTATAATAGTACCCTCGTGGCCCACGCAACCGTGGTATCCTCTTTTTACATCGCTCCTCATAGAACCCGCTATTATATTTAAACTTTAAACCTAATTCCACGTTATTAATATCTCCTTACAGAGACGAGAGTCATCCGCTAACATCCCACCTTTCGTTAGTGGCAGGCAGGTTATCAGGTCAGCTTTCTTGAGAAAAGAATTAGTAGAAGAAACCATAGATGTGGTTGTTGACTCTATCGCAAAAGCGACTTTAAAACAATATGAATGTAGTTTAAAACGTTGGTGGGAATTTACTCATTTAAGAAACTTAGATATATTTAGTGCAAAAACAACAGATATTATTACTTTTCTAAATATTCTTTTCAAAGACGATGCAAGCTATAGTAAATTAAATACCACTCGTTCCACAATCTCCTTAATTTCAGGATATGATATTAATAAAGATGGATTAATTCATCGGTTTTTAAAAGGTGTATTTAAACGGAGACCAAGCAAACCGAAATATGATACAACATGGGATGTTACACCGGTACTTAATTACATTGAAGAGCTTCATCCACTTAATAAATTGAAATTAAAGGACGCTATGGAAAAAGTGGCAACTTTATTAGCCTTGACAACAGCTCAAAGATTGCAAACTTTAGCATTAATAAATATCGACAATATAGAAATAAATAGTTCGGGAATAAGTATTAAAATTACGGAACAGATTAAAACGTCAAAGGCCGGAGCTTTTCAACCTGATTTAATATTACCTTTTTTTAAAGAGAAATCAGGATTATCTGTTGCATCCGCAGTTTTAGACTACATAGATTATACTAAAACATTAAGAAATAGCGATACAAAAAATTTATTTATTGCAACAATGAAACTTTTTGGCAAGGTATCATCGCAAACTATTGGCCATTGGATTAAGTCACTACTAGGTAAAGCGGGTATTGATACCAACCAATTCACAGCATATAGCACGCGACACGCAGCGGTATCTGCAGCTCATAAAAGAGGTGTAGATATCTCAGACATAAGACGTAGTGCGGGATGGGCACCAGGTTCTCAAACTTTTTTCAAGTTTAATAACAAACCGATTCAAGCCCCCAATGACCAGTTTGCACGTGCAATTATAAGAAAATAAAATGTTACATATAATACAATAATTAAAATAACGAATTATTACTCATACTCTAAAAATCTACAATATTATCATCGAGAACGAGACATGTAATATAATCCTGATCAAACTCCATTTCTTTGTTTTTTATTAAACATTTAGTGTGTAATACGTGTCGTTTTTTACATAACCCTCAGACCCAGTCCTATGTATATTATCTATCGGTATCATATATTAAAACTAAATATACAAAATATATTTTCTTATATAACCATTCATTACAGTTGAGAAATACGCGTTTTCAACATATTCGCAGAATATTCTGATTCCTAACTTTGCCAACGCTGCGAAATCTGGCGATTTGACGAGATTTTGTAATTAGAAAAAGTTGTTGTGCCAGTCTAGCACAATTCGGCACAATGAAAAGAAATTCGGAAATATCGAAATTTTTAATCACTTCCACCGTTTTTTGTTCAATTTGTTGACCCTCGAGCCAATCTTAATTTTTAACGCATATGTCTCGTGTATTGTAAGTAGCACAATTTAGCACATCTTGCAGAATTCGATTATCTGTTGCCGTTCGCAAATTGTGCGAATATTAAATTTGTTATTCCTTAAAATTCAACATTTTTTTTTCTGCAAAATGAGTAGAGATAACGAGTTTCTATCAATGGCACAATGTAGCACAAGTTAGTATGCATCTTTCTATAGAAAAAAAAGTTTGTTTCGGCAAAAGTGCGGAGCTATCAAAAATTTTGTTTTGTTCTATTTTCTTGAGTACGCTTTGACGTACAAAATTGCGGTTTACGGCACAATACGGCACAAACGTAGCACAATGTAGCACAATTTAAAAAAATCAAAAATTCGAAAAGTGCGGGGCTAACTTCACACATATGAAACCTTGGGCTCTGACCACTTCCCCATGTTTATAATTATCAATACAGAGAAGAGACATTACTATAAGAAATCGTTTAAATTAAACTCCTGTTGCACTTATTGGAGTCAAGTTCTTACATATTGGGAGAATTCGTACGAACAATTCTTCTATTCAGGCTATGACTCACTTCCAGCGATTGAAAAATATAATATCTTTATAAATATAATAGCGAACTCAATTAAAATCAGGACACCTAAAGAAAGAAATATAATCCGATTCGAACATAAAAATCCGGTTCCGTGGTTTGATTATGAATGCGACAAAATGAAAAGACTAAGGAAGGCATCATATAAAAAATGGGAACACATAAAGGATATGTTAGATTTAATAAGTTATAAAGAGGTGGCAGCTCAGACCAAAAAACTATTCAAATACAAAAAGAAGGAAAGTTTTAAAGATTTTGCCAAAAGTCTTAACTTCCAAACTAATATGAAATTCACATGGAATAGAGCTAAAATATTAAAAAACAAATGGGTGAACACTATGACCCACATATCAGAGATTCCTTGCATCGACAACCAAATAGTCACAGCCTTTGACAAGATTAGTCCTCCATGGGTCCACAACTAACCCTAACTTCTTGCCCGAAGCCAATCCTAACGCATTCTTTGACGCGTGTTTTAACTTGACTGAGTTCAACTTAGCGCTAAATTCCCGAAACTCAAAATCAGCTCCAGGTATGGATGGGATCAATTATGACATTATCTGTAGACTACCCCTTAAATATAAGTTAATATTGTTAGATATTTATAATCAGATGTACAGAACAAACACCTACCCGGTACAATGGAAACAATCCTACATGCTCTTTATTAGGAACCCAGATGATAAAAGTGTTCGCCCTATCAGTCTCTCTTCTTGTTTTTGTAAATTAATTGAAACCTTAATTAAGAATAGGTTGCATGGTGGCTCGAATATAATAACCTTTTATCGATAAGCCAAATTGGTTTTCGTAAGGGGCAGTCGTGTCTATCCAATCTTGCTAATCTAAATTTGTATGTGGAAGACGGAATAATTAATAAAAATTAATAAAAAACTCTTACAGTGTTTTTGGATGTACAGGGAGCGTTTGATAACGTAATTCATGATATCTTATTAACAAAATTGGCATCTATTGGTTGTTCTGCTCAACTAATCACATTTGTTAAATTCCTCACCTACGAAAGGGAGGTATTCACAGATATTACAGATAATCAATACAGATTAGTCCATAAAGGCGTTCCTCAAGGTGGGGTTTTGAGTCTGCTTCTATATTTGATA